ATCATATGGACACTTTTCTAAAGACAAAGCATACCAACTTCAGCATGGTGTTGCATTAAAATAACAATATGGATAAGTAATCGAAGTAAATGGGTGGGTTTCGGGTTATCTAGACATGTGTGGACGAAGATAGAAGAAAATTATAGTCATCGATCGAACACAGGCCACTTATTAGGCCCCACTTACATTGCCGATCTTTTTTTATTAATTCGATAATTTGGGTTATTAGTTTTTAATATTATATTTCGTGTGCACATGGTATTAATTTCAAAAGGTCGATCGGACTCTAACCCAGGAATCACTACGCTCTGTAAACAACGCGTTTGTGGGAAGGGTTACAGGAAGAATATGTAAAGCAAACTAAGACAAAATTCGTGGTTACGAAGAAAATATGTCTTCTCCAAGTTATATCAGTCTTCCACAATTTATTTGTATTTAAATTACGAAGGATAAAGCACTTCTAATTATATTGGATATTATAGTTTAAACTCTTTCTTACTGTTTCAAAGTTATTAACACGAAGAGATATATGTTTACCAAAGTGAAGAGACTAAAATAAAAGATAATGTCTTTGAAAATTTGAGGCATTATTTAATAAATTATCAAGTAAGTAACTTTTCACTAGTACTATATAAACTATTTTTATATTATTATTAATGATTATCTTATATATGGTAACTTTAGCAAATAGACACTTATATCGAAAAGTATATGGCTTGACTTGATGAGAGTTTAGAACATTTTTTAGACTTAATTTGAATTAACTAAATACTTGTAAGTACCTATAACATATGAAAACCATAGAAATACTACGTTTAATATTATTTAAGAGTTTTATTTATACAACATTTACATATAACTGAACCTTAACAGTTTTTATAAAGTGTAGTTAAAGTAATGGAAAGTGATCTTTTCGCAATATGGTAACCTTTTGTATAAATAGATACCTATGCATTTTTTAATTAAAAGATAATATCGAAGGCTACTAAAAGTTATCTTAAAATTCCTAGACATGTAAAATAAAGCTACGAATAGGTAATATTTTAAAAATTCCCAATAATTTTGCTAGACAGATGCAGACCTATCTCCAATTGTTTTTCAATATTATTTAGGTATATGATCCCAGATATGGGAATATGTTCCCAGATATAAGGATTATTACCAACTACCATTTTATTTAGGATCGGTTTAACAATCACTGGTTAATTCCCTGTATAAAAACTTAAAAATATTTATTTATTCATTTTCATTTTCCATTTAAATTTAACATCAACTTTTCCAGCCAATTAGGAGTTTCCAAGTATTTTAAATAATGAGTAAATATTTTGATACTGTTATTAGGTACTGATTTTGTCGAATCAGGTGCAATTACAAAAATTTCATTAATTTTCTTGAGTCATCACCATCAGCCTCAGTAAACTTTGCAAATATTTCAAATAATGAGTAAATATTTCGATATTATGTATGACTGTTACTTTTGGACCCCCCACAATTGTATAAACCTTTCCTTGTTGAAAGATAAGAATATTTATATTTTAACATCGCTAATAAAATAATGTCTAAAAACAAATAACTCCCGTACCGCGAGGAAGCTTCCAACTTGGACACACAAATTTCCCAAATTTATAGTAGTCCTGTAACTGGATGTTTCACAACCTTAATCAACAAGGAGAATAAATATTACCGAAACGCGCTGCCAGCGGTAATAAAATACGTCATTTAAATGTTTGTCATAAATAGAGGCCTAACGATTCTGCCAGTGGATTGGTTACATTCTTTATTTTCAACCATCAAACAAATTAAGGAATGACATTTTTTAAATTTTTCCACTTTCACACGAGTATAAAAAAACAAGTGACGAGGTACAAAATTTGACAGGCCGGACTGCGGGTCGTCGTTGTCCGTTTGATTTAAATTCAGGTTGAGTGCGGGCGGAATATCAGACATAAATTCGGAGAATCGGCTCATAGCCGTACCTGACTTTGGAGACCAGGTAAACAGTGGCGTTGCCCCTCAAAACACAACACGAATGCACCTAATTTTAGAATAATGCCTGATTAAAAAAAATACACTTATACTAATAGATGCTACTTTTTTATGAATACGAATATTAGAACTAAAAACTATAAAGAAAATGTAGTTAATTGCTTTTACTATTTTCATTAGACAACGTATTTTAGTAAAGGATATAGTTTCCAGATAATTTTTAGTACCTACCTATCATTCTACCGTATTAACACTTTTGGTATCTACTATAAAACCTCGTACCGACCTAAAGAAACTGTGCGGTAAATACCGTTCTCCAATAACAATCGTACCGACCTAAAGAAACTGTTCGGTAAATACCTACCGTTCTCCAATAACAAAAATCCTACGAACCCATTTATCTTGTTTTTTTTATAACGCCAACACTAAAATAGGTACCGAGCCGTAGTCGTAGATCAATAGAAGGATAACAGTAGGACTGCTAACTTGTCATTACAGATTCATCAAACATCTAAGTAATATTGGTCTGGCATCCGAGTAGCTTTTGCCAGGAAGAAGAATGCAGCTAATATTTTGTGCATGTGTCTTCACACTGCAAGGCCTAACAAGGATGCACAGTCTACTCTTCAGATAGAACTTATGTGAATCAGCTACTATCAAGCCTAGTTAGAATGCTACTGTTAACTAAACAACTCTGAAATCCTGAAGGTCCACAATAAATTTACGGATGGCATATTGAAAAAGGACGATGTGTCCACTTCAGATATTTACATTCTACACTAAAATGATGTGAATATAACACTAGAATTATAAATAAAATGAATAGTATCTTCTGTCTTCAATTCTGTAATTCCTTTTATTAATTATAATGTTATACGACAATATATTTTAACACCAGCAACACCAGGAAAACTTACTGAAACAAAATTGTAGAGTAATAAGACAGTAGGATTGCTAACCAGACATTGCAGTTTCAGGAAACAGCTGAATAATATTGACCTGGTAGACGACAGTATACTCGTAGGCTCTAGCAGGAGAAAGAAGAGACCAGCCATTCGTGTATTGAAGAGCGTGAAAACTTAGTACGCTATATAGGTACTGTTCGAAAGGAAAAAACCGAAAGTTGGAAGTTAAGTGAAAGAGCCACTGTCAAACTGTGGTGCTTCAGAAGGCTACTGTTCGATGGGAACTCTGAGATCGTCCATAGTCGACCGACGAGTGGCAGCAATGAAAAAGAATGGTTTATCTAGGTACTCCATACATATACAAATCTACACAAAAAAACATACAGATGATGATGCTAATGATGGCGGTAATGATGGAAGAATGGTATGCAATTCAGCTTTGAATTTATGATCATGCTTGAAAACAAGAAATTTATTTAGTTATTTAGTAGGTTTAATTCCAGGGAATATTAGAAGAATTTCTGATATTTCGAGTTAGTTAGTAAGTCGGCATATTATATTAAGCAAAGCTAACTAATAGCAGGAAACTTTGGTGGAATAATGCAATTTAGCAGAGAAATTAAAAGTACATGGAATGTAATGGCATAGTAAAATATATTTAAGCTTACATGTATTATGTTACATAATCAACGTTCATATAAAAATGATAATAATTTGTTGTAATGTAATTTTCTTGTCTATGCAATTTAACCGGTTAAATACGTACTTATTTGTGAGAAACCTTTTTTGAAATTCTAAGACTTATTTTTAAATTGGTAACGCGAATGCAAACGATTAAAAATTGAAAAGTTAATTATGCATTAAACAAATCTTATTTAAATACTTCATTTTTCCTAAAGCTTTAGTATGCTAATAATATAACTGGATCATTATGGCTACTTGCTTATATCCTCACGATAATAATCATTTCTTTTACAATGGTAGGTATGTAGTTAGATGAAGTAGAGCTTTATTCTACTATCAATAGAATGTATTGATATGAACTTTTTAACGGCGACGTAGTACAGATCAATAATTTTATTATCAATAAATACATAGTTGCTTACTCCTCTAAAACTCGTATTAACAGTTGATGAAATCAAAAGCATAATCACATAAAAGAATTTGATAGTTTATGCACTCAATAATTGATAGGGTATTTCATCCATCAATGTGTATATAATAAAAAATAAAATATTCTCATCAAAATATTGGATTTTATGTAATTGGAATTACTTCATATATATGCATAAAATTGGAATTTTGTTATAACTTCTTGAGGATTTAAAGTTAAGTAGGATAGGTATCTAGTAGTTTTCTTTTTTAATTATCTTCTACACTGTTTATTATTTGTTCTTATTGAACCTACTTTTACATTGTCTGCTTTATACAAATTGAAATTAATCAATTTAAAGTAACTTATAGTAATATAATAATAAAATGATCGAATTAAAAAGAAAATATTTCGGGAATGAGTAAGTAATGTCTAGACATTATTTTTGAAAATTTATTTTTTTTAAAGTTTCATATTTTATATATTAGTTACAATTAAAGATAAATATACTCAAAATGCAGAAATATATAATATTATAGGTATATCCACGATTTATACTGGTAAAATTTCACGTTAATCTTTATTCAAATAATATTATAATTCTTAGAAAAGGACATAATTTTTTTTGAAGTTTTGTAATAATTTCAATACTTATAGGTATCTCGTAGATAAGTATATTTTCATTAGTATCAACTGTTTGGACATATTATTTTTATTTCAGATAATTATTAATCTATCTACTTGTTTTTTTAATAATTCTAGATATTTATTATCAAAAAGTGTATACGTCATTTGAAGAGTATTTAAATTAAAGAATTGAAGATAATTTGAATTAGCTTACCTAACACTATGATAAGTTTTCATATTTATAAAATCGTCGGAAGCTATATCTATGCCTATAACTATTTTTTTGGTGCAGAAGTACTTCATCTCATAAATAAATCAATTGTATATGGGAACTATATCTTTAACGGCACTTAGGGAATTTTTTCCATTTATTTATAATAACAACTTACCATGGCTGCCGTAGGGTGAGTGCATGCTTTGGTGGTAGTACCTGGCGGCACGCTGGGACCCGGAAGGGTCGAGAAAGAACGCTCCCATGTGCTCAGCCACACTGGAATTAATGTCCGAATTACTACTCTCGATGCCCTGTCCAGGGCTCGCCGAAGTCCCGGTCCTGGGAGACTCGTACCAGCGCCCCACCGCAGCGGAATCGTTCGTCATCTCCATAATCATGGGTTACTAAGTTTTTTTTAACACTGCACACACGAAATCAATGGTTCGATCAAATGTGAAACACTTAAAGCCAATGCTAATCACGGTGGTTTTCTTTGGTCATAGTAGGTGTTAGTGATAAAGTCGATTGTTTCGAGAAGTGCGATGCGACGGTCGCCAACAACTCAGCCCGATTCCTTGAGCTATCTGAAAACAAATCATTTTATCAATAAACTTATTTGTACCTTTATCAATTTTGCAGTGATTTTATCTTTTCGAGTGCGATTACCCAGTACTGTAGTCTTGTTTTATTGAGTATGTATTTAAAAAGGATTTTAAATAAAAAAAACAACAGAGGAGATTGAAAACTTTATCATTCTAAAATTTATCCTCAGTTACCTATGCAATCATTCAACTGCAGAAATAAGTATACTTAAATAACATATTAAAATAAAAAAAGGCTTGCAAAATTGTTGCTTGTTTAAAATTTACTATACGAGTTTAAGATGAACCTATACATATAGTCAGTAATAATAATTTAATTAGAAATTATCATAGGTATTTTTTCTGTAGATATTAATAAACAAAAAACTAATCTACTATAAACGCATACCTACTAGTATCTGTATATTTATAGTTATTATAATAAATTAACCGTATTTTACAAATATATTGAAAAAAATCATTTTTATAAACGAGATGAGAAGAAATATGCTTCCGTTTATCATTTCTCCAGGAGACTTCAATTATCGATTATATAGGAAACCCGCGCTATTATTAACAACAAAGAGCTTCTCTTTTATGGATACGCATATGTCAGTAATTCTTAAACCAGGAAATATTTAAAACTATATTGTTATATAACAAGCCACAAATCATAAATAAGTTATGCAGGTTCAATGAAACGTTAAATTATGTAAGTGATAGAACACAATGTAAATTATACTTATAAAAAAACTAATTAATTCTTTATTTATTTTACTGATAGAGATCTATTACGAAAGTATAATGAGATACAGGTTTTAAAATTTTATACAAAAGAAATATGGTAAATATTGTCTATTCTAAACCAATTTTTTATGGAGGTCCAAAAGGAGTTGTTATATTTATTAATTTTTTGATCATTCTTATCTTAATTTGTTGTTTTAATATCAAATTACTTATTTTATTTCATGTTATGTGAAATTTGAGGTAAACAGACTTAATTTTAAGTGTTTTCTTTAGGTACTTACTAGAAAAATTAAAAATCCTATAGAGATCATTCAAACTATACACACTATCACAGTACACAGTCATAAAAGTTAACAGCACGACACTCTTTGTCAAAACAACGTTTTCATTGTTAAAACAAAATGCTATAGCAGCTCATCGATTCTACCACGGCAAACAACACGGTCGCACTAAATGTTGGGATAGCAGCTTTCGTCCGTTTCCCTTAGCAACGACGTTCGTAAAAGCTCGCGTTATCCCGGAACATTCCGGAGCAGTATTGGAGAGCTTTCAGTGAAAGGGAGGAGCCTATGCTGTGAGGCGGTCACCAGAAGGTGAAAGACGTTTTAATTTTGTAATGTGTAGAATTATATTAAAATGTAGACATCTGTGTATCCTGCGAGTTTAGAGTGGACGAAAGCAAATATTTCACTTTGTTTTAGGTTAGATGTTAAGGGATCTACTTTATCCCCTTTTTTCAAAACGGGTTTGTATCATAATTTGTGCGGGGACATACAAAATATTGATTCAAGATTGTATAACATGGATGATATTTTGTGTAATAGTATAGGTAAGGAAAAATATTGTTGATATTTTCTTGTTAGAGTTGAAATAAGTTTAATCGCAGAGGTGGGAGATTGTCCAATAAGATAAAGCCTCTAACAAAACACTACTATTTGACAAAATGGCGACCACAAATCAAAAGGCTCCGCCTCTTTAACGATTGTCTGCCCCTTTTTCATGTTCATGTCTGGCATTGGCTCTCTCTTCAATTCTTTCTTCTTTTTACTTCAGGTCTAAGCTGATCTTGTCTTGTAATTCTTTTGTTTTATATCACTTGTCTGTAAAATATTGAGAGCTACTACTAATTCCACCGATTCGCTGAATACATTATGCTGAGTTAGGATGGATAAGTTTATTTTTCCTCATCTTCCTTACTGTGTAACAATAAGTTTAGAATAAAAAAATCTATCGCTTTGGACTTTTGCAAAATCTGGCCCTAAAAACATTATATTATCATTTATCTGAATAAAAAAGAAGCTAACATATATTTTATTTAAAAAAATTGACTTATGGACTTTTAAAATCCATCATACAAAAAAATGTATCTTACTACACAGTACGTAGTAGCATAGGTATAAATAGTGATATACCTCTATAAAAAAGGCAGTTTACAGATATTTGCAATCTCAAAACAAGAGGCATTTTTTATTGGACTTATCATTATATTACGAGTATTCACTATCTTCTTTTCTTATATAAGTATAATAACCCTGTACAAGTAGATAAGTGCATCGTTCATTATTATCTATAAAAAGACAACGAAGACAAAAATATAATCGATAATGACAGATGTTATTGCTTTGCTTTAAGTAGTTAAATTACAGTTTTAAATTAACATATTGATTTATAGTTTTATGAATTGATATTAAAATCAGTGTTGACACTGATTATGATTTATAGACTTATTTCTATAATTATCTGAATAGTTGAAATATCCTTTTATATTTAAGTTGTTATTTGAATCTGATGTAAGTCTATAATTTGAAGACCTGTTAAATAAATCGGTACTTAGTTTATAAAATGCAAATTACTGAGGTATCAGCATTTAATTCAATTATTATGTAAGGACATTATACCTATCTATTTTATTCTGAATAATTCAAAAATGAATAATTATTAATATCTATACAATCATACTTATCGTATAGAATATATTTACCTATAAGAGGTTTCACTAATTAATTTGGATATTAGGTAACAAACTTATAGATTGTCTGCCTAAACCATAATATCTAATACATAAATTATAAAGTTAAGTACATTTTTTAAAATATTTATTACAGTTAATACCCATCAGATCCAGTAATAAATAGAAAATATAAAGTGTGACACATTTTAAAATAATTTTAGATTCTAAAATTTGGTTCCTATTGAAATTCTTACTTAGTACCTAAGTAAGTAATTTTCCCCAACTTCCACAAAGATTTTAAACCATCATGGAATCACATTTTCCAATAAAAACATTAAATAGAAATATTTCTGTTTGTCCTTCATTTGATTATAAACTCAACTTCTTTTATAGATTATTCTAGACTAAAAACTTACAATTAGGTAAATTATATAGTTCTTTCATTGTTCAGAACTACCTTTATATTAACATCATCTTTTTCTGTATATTTTATGTCAATAATATTATTTAACAGAAGTATGTTTTAGAACTTTAAAACCAAGAGGATGTCCACGTAAAGCGGATAATTGGACAAAGTAAAAAAGTGGCTTTTTAAAAATATTAAGTATGGCAAACCGACAAACCCATTAGGTACATGCTTATTTTATCTGTTTGCAAGTAAAAAGCTACACTCATAAAAATTTTAGATAAAATTACACATTAGATCATTGGTTATTTTGACGCCACAGTAAATAATGTAAAATTACATCAAACAAGTAAAGTTACATTAAGCATGTAGGTAATTTTACACTTTTTGTATAATTCACTCAAAATGTAAATTTACATTGTCGATAAGTACCTATATGTATATTTACCACACCTAAAATAAAATTTTATTAAGAAATTTTTTTTCACATACCTAAATATTTTTCCAAGACAGGTTACAACATACTTTAGTGAAGGAAAAATAACAATAAATAAATTTAAGAAGATAAGAAGCATAAATATACGGGCTTTTACAAATTCGCTTCTCCACTATAGGGATATCAGAAACGGTAAAAGATACGAAGTAGATGGAGGCAACGTTCCGTAATCAGGGGACCAACATTATGCCTCTAAAAAATCAAAGCTAACATGATTAGTTTTCGAAATATTTGAAAGTAACCGAAATTTTGAAAATCCGTTTTTGTTTAGTTTCAGCTTTGAGGTGGTATTGAAAAAAAAAGAACACATTCTCATGGCAACTTTTTTCCCTCTATCGAATGGCATAATCAATTTTTATATATAACGTTTCGTCTCTCCATCAGGAACATCATCAACTTCATTTTTTAAATACGAGCCTGGAAATTACATTTTTTGCAAGCCTTCATGACCCCCAATACTGTACTGCCTCAGCCCGAACCAGATTCAGACGTTTTGTCTCGAAAAATTCATCTTCAATGTATTCGTTCCAAATTAATCTATTTTTTTAGATTTCTATGTTTATTGAATTCATAATCAACATTTGCCAAAACGGAAACGTTTTTGAACATTTACTGTAATTTTTTAAAGTATAATATTCATTTAGAGTTTTGTTCATATGCATTTTTAAGAATTAATTTGTCATAATGAAATTAAAATTGTAATACCTAATGTTTTAATTTTGACGCAACAACATATCGAATTATGTATGACCAGGTGATGGAGATTAAAACTATAATAATGTTTTATTGTAATGCGTGATGGTAATATTTTAAATAACGAGGTGGATTTCACAGAGTCTAACTACACTTATTAGAATGTACGATAATTCAATAAACATAGCAATCTAAATAAAAAATTTAGATAAACTTGGAACTAATACATTGAAGATGAAGACAAAACGTCTGAATCTGGTTCGGGCTGAGTTAGTACAGTATTGGGGGTCATGAAGGCTTGCAAAAAATACGACCCTGAAGATTTTATTACATTTTTTGCAAGCCTTCATGACCTCCAATACTGCACTGCCTTAGCCTGAACCAAATTCAGACGTTTTGTCTCGGAAAATTCATCTACAATGTATTCGTTTCAAATTTATCTAAATTTTTTATTTAGATTTATATGTTTATTGTATTATCGTACACTCCAAGTGTCGTTAGACCCTATGAAATCCACCTAGTTATTTAAACTCTTATCATCACACGTTACAATGAAACATTATTAAAGTTTTAATCTCCATCACCTGGTTATATACAAGGTGTTAACAAAATAATTACTCAAAATTTGAGAGTGTTTAAAACATGTCGAAATATGATGAAAACCTTAGTAGAGTTTTTGTCAGTGACGGCCCCTTGAAGGGGTATCTCAGGAAACTGTTTTTATTGCATAACTTCAAAACGGTTTAATATTAAATTACGAAATGTTGGTGTTGTACTACTATTTGTATGTTTAATAATAATCGATATAATACCTATACAAATGAAAATTTGCTACAGAGGCCTAAAAAAATGCGGGACCATGGGACAAATTTTACAATTTTTTTTGTGTACGCAATTTTTTCGAGTTCCTCAACCGAAAATATTAAAATTTATCATATTTTACATAAAAAAGGTACTCTTGTTAGATTTTAATAGCATGAGCCGTTTTCTAGTAAAATCCATTTCAATAATTCATTAAGTGCACAAAAATTCCTGCTGCAAAATAAATGTATAATGTAATAAACAAAAACGGATTTCCAAAATTTTGTTTTTTTTTCAAATATTTCGAAAACTTGATCTCTTTGAGGCATAATGTTGGTCCATTGATTATACAACTTTGCCCCCATTTAGACTACTTCGTATCTCTTACCGTTTCCGAGATCCCTGTAATGCGAAGCGAATTTGTAACAGCCTGTATATATACAGGGTGTCTCTAAAAGGCCTGGATAAGCTTCTACTAAAATAATATCATTTAAATCAAGTTACCTTAGTCCAAAATTTGATAGTTTCTGTGGTACAGGGTATGTAAGTTCCAATTTCATTTTAGTTTTTCTTCAATTTCTTCATTATTAATTGTAGTAAATACACAAAACTTGGTATAGGGAAATTTTCTGGCATGAAAAATTGAAATCTTTTCTGGAATTTGCTGTAAATTATTAGAGGGCGCAACCTACAATACTTTACAGTATTTAAATTGTCATAACATTGTTGTGCTCCGGTATATTGAATTTTTAATAAAAAATTCTTATTCTTCCAAATTTTTTATAGGAAAAATGTATACTTGGAAAATGTCGTTTTAAACAACCGTTTTTTGGATATCTGGATTTAAAGGATTCATTTCATGAACTTGTCGTTGCCTTCCTACTTTATCTAGGCTTAGGACCTTTTCAAAATTAGTTCTAAAATCTTGGAGTGTGTTTATGAGCCTACAATAAAAGAAGTTAAATACCATTGAATCAACAACGACATGTATGTAAAATAAACTGGTTTCAGTCAAGTTATCTTGGTACAACTTGGTTTGTATAAAAAAAATACGAGCCTTCAAAAAAAAAGTTTATTTCAT